GTTATGTAAGTATGTACATGTCCATGGAAGCCAGAAGAGGACATCTGACCCTGTAGAACTAGAGTTACAAACAGTTGTGAGATGCCCAATGTGGGTGCTGGGAACTGAATTCATTCCTCTGCAAGAACAGCAACTGCTTTTAACCCTTGAGCCATCTCTCCAGTCCCTGTTTTTTCCTTTTTGGACATTTTCAGTCCAAGGCTGCTGGACCTGTGGGCGGAAGCCACATGGATACCAATAGGAAGTAATAATGGGCTTCAGTTATCAAACACCAAAGCCCAAGGTCGGGGTGTGGCTCAGTGATAAGAGTACTTGCCAAGCACAAAGGAGAAGACCTGGGTTCCATTCCCAGAACTGGAAGAAAAATAAAAAGAAGTGGGCACACACCTGTAATCCCAGCATTCAGAGACGCTGTTCTTCAGAAGGGAAAGACAGGAAAACCTTGGGTTAGAGAACAGCATGGGCTACACTGGAAGGCCCTGTCTCAAAACAAACCTTAAAAGGAACCAGTGCATGAAGAACTCAGTCTCTCTGGTCTCCCCTTGGCCTGTCTCCCACCCTCCACTTAGGCACCTCCAACTTGCCCTCCATAAGCATGCTTCCATCTTTTCACTTCATCAGAAATCTCTGGAAGCTCCTGGTGCCTTAAAGCTGACAGGGCAGTAGTGCTTCCACTGAGGAAAGCACCAGGCGATCCCAAATGGGGAATAGAAGAACACCATTTCCATGGCTTCTGTTTATCCTGTTGCACCAAGACAGTGCCTGCTATGTAGCCATGGCTGGCCTGGAACTCACACAGGAGTGGCCTGGGTTCACTTGTCCCATGACACCAGCTTAAAGTCGGCTCTTTTTAGCTAACAAGTAAAAATCTTAAATGCTACCAAGCAATAAAATGAACTAGTGCCCACCCTCGGGTCTTTAGGTGGCCCCGTTCCACAGTATTGAAGGGAACCCAGTGCGGGGAAAGGAGGAGAGAGGTTTTTCTCACTTGGTCCTATGCTGTGCACTGAGGTAGACTCTTGTTTGTAGGGCACCAGCAACTTTGCTAATACACACCCAAACCTGGTCCTCAAGACAAGAGCTTTAAAAAAAATTACTACATTTGATTTTCTTCTAGTCAGTAGACAACTTGGAGGAGTGGCTCTATCCTTTCAGTGTGAGGGTATCTGAGTGAAAGGGAGGAGCACACTCAGGTTGACAAGCTTGGGGGCGCGGGAAATGCCTTTATCTTGAGTCATCCAGCCAACCCAGTGGGGTCTTTCCAAGGCACTATCACAGTGGGTCCTTCCAACCCCGCTGACCTTTGCTGAAAGCCCAGAGTCACCAGGACAGTCATTGCTTAGCAACTATTCTGAGGATGGACATACTGGAACACATTTCACTACATCTTTTGCTTTCAGAATTTCGAAACTCCTATGTTAGTGTTTCTAGTACATGGACACGCACATAGATCAGAAAAACATATGTGGGTGCGGAGGATACACTGTGGCCCTTGGCTACACTTTACCAGCAAAGTGCAGGATCAAAGCCTGGAGCCCAAACATGCTTGGTTCCAGTTGCCTTTGGACTTAATCCACTGTTTTCTCAAGAGCTACTCTGGATGCCCAACTGGCATTTTCTTTTTGTATTTAGCTTTTCTAAATCTATCCACTGCTGAGCAACTCACTCTTGCTACTAATCCAAACTTGCTCTCCCAGAAGTCTTTACTCTATCACTGAGCTACACCCAGATACCCTCACTGGGCATTTTAGGCAAGTGCTTGACCACAGAGCCTTCACTGGGGGATTCCAGCCAGGCACGCTACCACTGGGTGCTACCTCTAGCAAGCTCTTCCAGAGCTCTTCCTCATTTCAATAAATACCAGTAACACTGCCCCAAACCTTGGCATTACCCATGACTCCACTCTCGCTGTCATCTCAGCAGCAATTCGGTTAGTTCCATCAATTTTCCCCACATCAGCAGCTGTCAAGGAGATTACAATGACTCCTTACCTGGTCTCCAGCTGCCTAAGAAATTGCTCTGTTCAAAACACCCTAACTCTTGAGGAAATGTCCAAAGATTACAAGGCTTGTTGAATTCTCTCTACGTCCCCTGATGTTCTCAATTCCAGGCCTCCCTGCCCCACACACTGTACTCAAAGTCTCCCTGTCTGGAATTCTTTCTACATGTAATCTATGCTTTCTTCTGGTCTTCACTAATATGTCACATTCCTGATGGTGGGCCTGTGACTGTGAGAAGCAAGTAAAATCACTTGCCTCAAAAGCTGGAGGACATGAATTCAATTTCTAACCTTTCCCACATGCTGGAAAGAGAAAACAAGACTGCAGGAACTTGTCCTCTGCATTTCACACTGCTGTGGAAACACACACACACACACACACACACACACACACACATATGCACGCACGCACGCACCCGAACATACCTTACCCTTCCTCTAATCAAAAATAAAATCTCAACTTCCTTCCTTGTCAACCTCTTCTCTCTTACCTCTGAGGCTCGCAACTAACTGAGATATTTTATAACAAGGGAGAAACAACATATCTAAACAACAGAATTCAGGGGCTGATGAGATGGTTCACCAGGTAATGGAAATTGGTTACCAAGCTTGATCACCTGAGTTCAACTCACAGGACCTACCTGGTAGAAGGTGAAAACCAACTCCTGAAATATGTCCTGACCTCCATATGCAAATCATGGCAAGTGTGCGTGCATGCGGCTGTGCACACACACGCTAATGAATTTAAATTTTTAAAATCAAAATACAGAATTCTGTGCTGTGCAAGGTACATAGATGCAACTATCAAAATTCAAATGGAAAGTGGGCACAGTTGTGCAAACCCCAGCACATGGGAAGAACAGAAGCAGGCGGATCTCTAGTTTGAGGCCAGCTAGGTGTATGTAGAGAGGTCCAAGACAACCAAGGATGCACAGTGATTCATTCTAAAAATAAGAACAAACAAACCCAACTGGGCTGAACGTGTTATGCCATTGGGTGGTACATTTGCTTAGCATGCATATGGCCCTGAATTCCACCCTCAGGACCATAAACACACAGCAACACTGAGCCTCGTTATTCACTCTCTGCGGAGCTAATCCTACTCTCCTCCTCTGCACTCATCTTCATCACCACCTACCACAAACTAACTTACTTCTGGCCTACCCCAGACTAATTCTCATTCATCGCTGAACCTCTGAGCATCCAGGGCCTTGTATACGCCTAAGCAAGTGTATACCACTGAACTATGTCCCGAGCATTTTGTTTTCTTTTCAGACAAAGCTCTCCTAAATCATCCAGGCAGGTCTCAAACTTTTAATCTTCCTGCTTCTAACTCTTGAGTAGCTGGGATTATAAACATGCACCACCACACTCCCCATGTAAGTATTTTTATCGGTTTTCCTAGAGATTTGTAAAAATACAGACCCTACCCTCTGGACAGGATCCTGGGACCCCTTTCTTCATTGATTCTGGATGATTCTGACGTGAACTAGTTAAAGAGCCACTGTCCCAGCAGATGACTAAAAATAGCTTAGCTGTAAGTGTCCAAGGCCAAGTCTACCCAAAGCAGGGATGCTTCTCCAAGAAAAAAAAAATTTAAGAATAATTTTTAAGAGAAGGAAGGCTCCGGGGGAGATGGTTGAGTGGGCAAGAGCATAAGGACCCGAGTTCAAACTCCCAGTTTCCCAGCCTTGCAGGTTCAGTCAAAGACCTTGTCTCAAAGAAATATGCCCTACAACAGTGGTTCTTAACCTTCCTAATGCTGCAACCCTTTAATACAGTTACTCATTTTGTGGTGATTCCCCCAACCATAAAATTACTTTCATTGCTACTTCATTACGGTAACTTTGCTCTTATGAATTGTAATGTAGCTACCTGATATGAACCCCTGAGAAAGGGGCATTCAACTCCACGGTTGTGAACCGCTGGTCTAGAGTGAGGGAGCAAGGCAACGTCCTTCTCTAGCGTGAGCACAAACGTGCACATACACCATACACACAGAAAAAGGATTTTTGAGAAACGAGTGACGGTGCACGGCGTTAATCCCAGCACTGAGAAGGCAGAGGTGGATCTCTGTGAGTTCGAGGCCAGCCTGGTCTAAATAAGTAAATGTAAAGAAAGCAAGTCCTTACGTGTAAGGACACCGGCGGTGGTCGGTAGCGCTGAGTTTCAAACAATTCTGCCAAACCATTGTGACCATGGCTCAGTTCTCTACCCTCAGCTCAGGCTGTCTGCACTACGAAGCTAACGTTATACGTTATTTCTCCTATCCATGCATAGCTCACGTGGACACTACGAGGAGAAAAGTAGTTACGTCGAAGCAAGGCAAAGTTACATATAATGCAATCTGCTTCCGGACAGAGCCTTGGCTTCTGCACCTACCGGGAGGGCAGACTCTCTGGGGGAACTTGGGCTGGGCTTTGCCCCTCTTCCAGGTAACAGGCTGAGCCCGGCCTGTTACGAGCCCCCACGACACCGGGATGCTGGTGCCGCCCCCGGAGTTCCCGCTGGGCGGGCAGCCTCCCGTACCTGGGCCGAAGTGCTGAAGCCGCGGCGGAGAGCCGCGCTGGCAGGCCGGGCGAGAGCGGACAGCATGGCTAGGGCGGGGAGGGAACGGACCGTCAGCTGCCGCAGCCAAGGTAGACCAGTGACTCCAACGACCTCCACTGTGCGCAGTGCCCGCCCGGTTCGGAGCCTCCTGATCTCGCGAGAGCCCAGCCCCGCGTCAGCAAATCTTGCGAGAAGCGCCGCCTCGTCTCGCAGGAAATGACCCGGCCCACCTCCAAGATCTCGCGAGAGAATGCTACGTCACTCCCCTCTGTTGCCTAAACCAAACTCTCCGCCCACTTTCGAGATCTTGCGAGAGCGGCTGCTCCTATCAGGTCTCCTGCTTTTTCCCCTCTCCAGGCCGCAGACCCGGCGTTAGGCCTTGCCCACTTTTGGGACTTCCGGTTCGTTCGGCCACTTGGATTAGTGGGAACCTCGGGAACGCCCCTAGCAACCTGGTGTTTGGAAGAGTTGGGGAGCGCGCACCAAGAAATCCAAAAAAGTACCTCGCAGGTGGGGCTCCAGACAGATGTCCTGCCCGGGACCCTGACCGAAGTCCCACAGCAGGTCAGGCGGTCCCCGAGCCCCTGACCTCAGCCAGGCCCAGTTGTGTGGGAATTAGGATATAAACTCAGATCTTCTGCAAGAGCGTTACACATAGAACATAGAACCCTCTCACCAGTTCCTCATCGCTTTTTAAAATTGAATTATTAGAGGATGGAAAGATGGCTCAGTAACTAAGAGCATTTGTTACTCTTGCCAAGATTCCTAACACCCACATGATGGCTCACAGCCATCCATAACTCCAGTTTCAGGGGATCCAACACGGTCTTCAGGACTCCATGAGCACAGGCATTCACATGGTACACATACAAACAGACAGGCAAAACACTCAGTGTTAATATAAAGTTCCTGTGGAATGTATACAATTTACCCTGTTCGTTCACATGCTGATTTCTCTCCCCCACTTGGTTTCAGTCTGGACATTGCATTGTGATAAGCATCGCCTGTCTCAAGTCTGTGTGAACATGCCACCATCTGTTCTCTGTATTACCAATAAAACAACCAGCCAAAGCTGAGCAATAGAATAGGGTAGGACATCCTGGTCCAGAGGAGAAGAGAAAGAATAGAGGGGGAGGAAGATCAAAGAAGAGAGATCAGAGAAGAGGACCTAGAAATACCAGGAGAGATGAACCGGACCTAAGATATGACTAAAAGCAAGTGTAATGTGGGAAATCTGAATGGGAGGAAACTATGCAGGCTTGGAGGTTAAAGATGGAGTAACTATTGCCCAGCATTGTCCTCTAGGCTAATTAAATAAAACTAGTCTCTGTGTGGTGATTTGGATATATAGCTGGTTTAGGAATAACCACTGTTTAACTAAAGATAAATCAATAATAAATATTAATAATCAGCAACAACTCAGAAAATAACCTTGGTTGTTTCTAATACTTGGCATAATAGATCATTAATTGTTTGCTAATAAAAAATAGAGCTGTTGTAATAACTCAGGGGCAGGGCATTTTCTTAGCATGTGGGGCTCAATTCCCAAGTGCATGTACACACACAGAGATTCAGAGAGAGAGAAAACAAACAAATGAAAAAGTAACTATTTATAGCCTCCTTGGTAGTATATGACTCCATATATTGTAACATGTTTACATATTCATATGTCATATTTGCATATTCAGATGTTGTGATTTACACATTAGGCAAACTCTGTCAATTGAGCTATATAACCCCAGCCCCCGATTTCCAGTTTTTGAAGTGTTTAATTCAGTATCTCATTTTCTGGTCATTTGTGTTAAATAGAGAGCTATGTGTTAAACTTGTACATTGTTGGTTCTTCCCAGTAGGATGGCTGACCTGCGTTTATGTGAGCCAACAGAACTCTATAACATCTTGAATCAGGTCTCCAAGCTGTCCAGATTAGCTGAGCCCAATTACCTCTGTCTACTGGGTAAGTAGAAAACAACAACACATCAACACACACCAACACACCAACCCAAACATACACGCCATCTCAAACACATACACCAACTCAAATACACACACCAACACCTCAACCCAAACACACATGCTGGGTTTCATTACTGAAGAGACACCATGACCATACTAACTCATAAAGACAACATTTAATGGAGGCTGGCTTAGAGTTTCAGAGGTTTGGTCCATTATCATTATGGTGGGAAGCATGCCAGAATCAGGCAGGTAGACTGGAGATGGAGCTGAGGGTTCTGCATCTTGATCCAAAGGCAGCAGAATAAGACTATCACGTGAGCATAGGAGACCTCAAAGCCCTACCTCCACAGTGACACACTTTCTCTAACAAGACCACACCTCCTAATAGTGCCACTCCCTATGGCTCAAGCATTCAAACACATGAGTCTATTGGGGCCATGCCTATTCAAACCAATATACCTACCAACACCAACATACTGACATATAACCCACAAACACACCAACACAAACACCCCACCCACAAACATCAGCCTACTGTTCAACTGGTATGTTGAGAACAGTTGCCTACAAACCTTCCTTTTGAAGGTCAGCAGTGTTTCCAGAGAGGGAAATGAAAGGTTGGTTCAAATCGTTGCCTGTGATTATGCTGAGGAGGTTAGGCTCAGTGCATAAGGCAATGGTGAACAGAGTTTGTTCCCAGCACCCATATAAAAGGCAGAAATAGTAGCCTGCCTGTAATCCCAGAACTCAAGACAGGGAACAGGATACACCAGGCAGGCAGGCTAGCTAGAATCTATGCAAAGATGAGCTCTGGGTTCAGAGACGCAGCCTCAGCAAATAAAGTAGAGTGATTGAGAAGACAGGCGTGTGCACACATGTACCTCCACACCCTTCTGCACATGCTTATACATACATTACACACACTCCTGCAAGAAAGAGAATAATGCTGCAGTCGAGTGTTCCACTACTTGAAAAACAATTGAAGATTGTTTTTAGATCAAGGAAAGTTCTGCACAGCATGGTGGCTCAGGCCTGTGGTTCCAGCACCAAGACAGCTCAATCGAGAGCTTCAGGCTGAGCTGGGTGCAGTGGCACACTTAGGAGGCAGAGGCAGGTGGATCTCTGAGTTTGAGGCCAGCCTAGTCTACAGAGCTAGTTCTAGGACAGACAGGCACCACAGAGAAACCCCATCTCAAAAAACCAAAAAAGAAAGAAAGAAAATGAAGAGATGGTGGATGTAGAAGTTCTGTTTTAAGACAGAGTCTGAAGACTGGGGAGATGGCTCTGTGGGTAAAGGTGCTTGCTGTCAGGCCTGATGACATGAGTCATCCTGGAACCCACATAGTGGGAAGAGAGACCTGTCTCCCACAGGTTATCCTCTGATCTCCACTTATGTATGGCACTTACGCTCCCTGCCCCCCCCCCCCCATACAGAAATTATTTATTTGAAGACAAGACTCTTATTGTGAAGCACTGGCTGGCTTCAAACTCAAAATCCTGCCTCCATTCCCCCTACACACACACTGGGTGCTGAGTTCACAGCTGTGTTTTGAGTGGACAATTATTCACCTACTCACTGGTGTTAACTATTTCATTTCTGAGTTCAACCCTTTACTTTGCCAGATGTTCGACCCAAAAGGCTGTATGATGAGAGCCACGTGATCACTGCCATGAGAGTGAAGAAGGTATCGGGCTGAGTCAGAGTTCGGCAGGCTGAGGGCAGGGAGGAGAGAGGGGTTTTGTCCTGGATCCAGAGTGTGGCTTGATTCTGACGGACAAGGTGGTGGGATGGTATACGTCCCATGAATCCTTCCCACATTTCCTAAACCTTTTCCTGGTAGACACTGCCTGTTCGTGCCGTTTCTAAGTGAGCAACATGCCTTCCAGTCAGTGGTGTCTGACACACAGCCCTGCACTTCTGCTCTGTCAGCCCTCCAGGCCTTGTCTGTGAGCTTGTTGGTGGGTCTGCCTTCTTTGTCTAGTCCTGGACAGCTGGTCAGTACAGATGGTTGGCAAGCACCAGTGACCAGAAAGAGGCCTTCTCTCTGCCCAGATCACTTTCTGACCTTTGTTTACCTCATGTGTATGTGTGTGTTAGTGATGTATGTGTATTATATGATCATGTGTGTATTACGTGATCATGTGTTTGTATTTGATCATATGTGTGTTAGCCAAAGGACAGCAGTTATCTTTTTATCACTCCATCTTATATTTTTATTACATTATTATTTTTTAAAATCATATGTGTGTGTACATGTGTGAACATGAGTGCAGTGTGAACTCTGCCTGCAGAGTCCACAAGACGACCCTGGATCCATTGACTTCCCTAGAGCTAGAGTTACAGCAGATGTGAGCCACGGAAGGGAGGTGCTGGGAACAGAGCTCAAGTCTTCAAGTGCAGCCAGTGCTCTTACCTGCTGAGTGACCTCTCCAGCAGTTTATTTGTTATATACTTACTCTATTATGCCTCTCTCTTTCTCTGCCTCCTCTCTGGAGGCAGGAGTGGGTATGTATCTGGGCATGGTCAGGCCACGTCACATGTGGAGATTGGAAGATAACCACTACACGTGGGTCCCAGGAATTGAGTCCAGGTCCTCAGGCTTATCAGCAAGCACCTTTACCGGCTGAGCCATCTTACTGGTCCTTATTCTTCCTTATTCTAAGCCAGAGTCTTAGTACGTAGTCTAGGCTGTCCTGGATCTCAAGATCCTCCTGCCCCAGCCTCCTCATGCTGGGGTGACATGTATGGACCCCCACCTGCCAAAAGACATCTTCCTGAATGTTCTCTTGAGCTTCTAGACAAATGAGATTTCTCCCCTTTGTGTTCCAGAGATCCTTGGTAGTCTGGACTTCTGCCCTTACTTCTTGCCTTGATGATATTCTGTAAGGAATGCTCGGGCACTTGTCACAGCCTCCTCCATGTCCTCTCTTGGGACTGCTGCATCAGATAGGCCAGGTTGCAACAGACATCGTTGGGCTCAGGTTCCCCTTAGCGATGGCAGCTTGTAGGGGACACTGAGAGCAAGTGAAGGCCATACCCTGAGCTGTCATCTAGTCAAGAATACTTGAGTTCTGCTATTAGGTACCTGTATGTGTCTAGTACTATGAGGCTACACTACACCCTCCCCAGGTGGGCTCTTTCTTCCTCCGGTGAACTCATCACCTCAGTACAGAATGCCTTTATTAGTTACTTTTCTTATTCATTGCAGTGATGAAAGCAATTGCAGGAAGGAAAGGAAAGGGTCTTTTGGCTCACAGTTTGAGGGATATGGGCCTGTCTTAGTGAGAAATGCATGGTGGCAGACATGTGAGCCAACAGGCCTCATTTCGTTCATAGTCAGGAAGCAGGGAGTGGACCAGAAATGAGACTGGACTATAAAACCTCAAGGCTCATCCACTGTGACCCACTTCAGCTGGCTGCCTTCACTTGCTTAAGGTTCCACAACCACCCAAAATAGTGTCATCCTCTGGTGATGCCTGTGGGATCACTTCACACGAAAGCACGACTACACCTTTTATTTCCATTTTTGGGACCTCCATTCTGGTGACCCCACTCACGACTCAACCCTTCACCAATGCTACTCCACCTCACGGCTTCTGCTTTGTCATTTAGATGAGACATGCATTTAAGGCCTATCACATGCCAGAGACTGTTCCCGAAGTTCAAAGTACATTAGTGTAATGGTTAATAACAGCTTCATGGTAGGCTTTAGTGCCATCTTGGAGACAAAATTCTCGGCACATCTGAGAGGGAGTTTCCAGAATGGGCTAAACAAGGTGGGGACACTCACCTAACCTGTGGTCAGTACCATCCCCTGGGCTGGACCAAGACCCAATAAAAATGGGAAGGTGCAGCTGGGCAGTGGTGGTGCACCTTTAATCCCAGTACTTGGGAGGCAGAGGCAGGTTTCAGGACAGCCAAGGCTACACAAAGAGACCCTGTCTCAACTCCCCACATCCCACAACCCCAAAAGAAAGTGAGCTGAGCACCAGCATTCATCTCACAGCTTCCTGACTGTGGATACAGTGTGAGCAGATGCTTCACACTCTAGCAGGCACACCTCATCTGCAACTGACCGTACCTCAAACTGTTCTCCTGCTGACGTCTCCCATTCATCCAGCCACAGTGACTCTGATGGGCTGTGAGCCCAATGATGCACCAGCCATTCTCCATCCAGGCCAGAGTCACCTGCTTCCATCCTTCTTAGTTGTGGGTAGGGGAGACCACTCCAGGATTCAGGAGACTCCTTTCTACCACTGGTGTTCCCTGGCTCATGAGTCATCAGGGGAAGGAGGACAGGATCCCCAAACCCTACCTCAGGCTCCTCTGGGATGCTGTGCAGGGACAGCATACCCAGCTGAGCTCCCCAGCAACACACCCTCATGGTTTCCTCAGAAAGATGATCAGTACCTCATCCCGGAGTCCGTGGATCTGGAGTGTGTGAGGTACTGCATCGTGTACGACAGCAATACCAGTTCCTTGGAGCTGGGCATACGACGGCATGAGGACAATGAAGAGGAGAAAAGCGATGACGAGGAGGAAGAAACTGGTAATCACTTTCCTCTTGGTCTTTTTTTTTTTTTCCTTTTTGGTGTTTATTCCCAGCATTCAGGAAGCAGAGACCAGCAGATCTCTGAGTTTGAGCCCAGCTTGGTCTACAGAGAGTGAGACAGACAGGCAGAAAGAAACAGACAGACATAATGTAGCCCTGGTTGTCTGAAAGGCCTGCCTCTGCTTCCCGAGTGCTTGGCTTACAGACACTACAGATAGGTGCAGTCACGCCCGAATCACACAATGGTGGGAATGGAGCCCAGGGCCTTGAGCATACTAGGCGAGCACTCTGCCAGCAGAGCCCCATCCCAGCCTTCTCAGGTAGGTTTTACAACCACAGGAATAATAGTAGAGACTGGCTATATTCCTTATTTTTGTGTGGTTGTGACCACATTGGCTGAGGGAGATGAAGAAGGAAAGAATGATTTCTCTATTTTACTTCTTTGTATGTATGTCTCTGTGTGTGTATAGGCCTGTGGAGAGCAGAGGTTAGCCTCAAGTCACTTTGTTTTTTTGAGACTGTCTCTGCTGGCCTGGAGATTGCCAAGAAGGCGAGGCTGGCCGGCCAGAGTCCCAGGGATTCACCTGTGCAGGTGGCAGCATTGCAAAAGTGTGCCACCGTGCCTGGCTTTTTCGTACCAGCTCGGGGGAAGAACTCAGGTCCTCCATTTGCAAGGCTGGCACATTACCAACTAAGCCATCTCCTGCACACGTGTGCACCTCCACACATGCAAAAATATGCACACACGTATATATCACATACATACACATGGAAGATAGAAGAATGTGGGGGAGAAGGTGAAATCACTCACATGCCTAGAGTAAGCTCTCTGCCTGCACTTGATGTTCTGAAACTCAGTGGCCCTAAATGTCAAAATGTTTTTCATCATATCTTTGGGTCCAAAATTCAGAGGCCCCTCATCCAGGAGAACCAATGTTTCTCCAGAGGCTATGATCAAAGTGTCAGCTGGGGCCAGGTATGGTAGCACATGGATATAATCCCAACACTGGGGAGGCTGAAGCAGGAGGGTTTCTTTTCAGGACTTCCTGGGCTGCAGAGAGAGACCATGTTTCAATTGAAAAACAAGAAAGTGGTCTGGGACTGGAGCTTGATTAGTTAGAGTGCTCACCTAGCATGCATGAAGCCCGAGGCCCACCCCAATACCACAGAAACAGGGTGTGATAGTAGGCACTTGGAGTGTGGAGGCAGGAGGAGCAGAAGCTCAAAACTGTTACCAGCTACTCAGCAAGCTCAAGGTCAGGCTAGTGAACATGAAACCCTGTCTCTGAATAAATAGTTGAGCATAATGATGCACACATTTAATGCCAGCGCTCAGGAGGCAGAGGCAGGTGAATCTCTTGAGTTTGAGCACAGCCTGGTTTACAGAGCAAGTCCAGGATAGCCAGGGCTACACAGAGAAACTTTATCTTTGTAAACAAATAAAACTGGACCAGAGCTATAGCTCAGTGGTATAATACTTGTTTCCCATGCATAAGGCCCAAGGTCCAATCCTCACCATTATGCAAAAAATAAAAAAAATAAAAAACCAAAATGCTAGGATGGCTCAACAGGCAGATACACTTGCCACCTGAGTTTGATCCCAGGACACACATGATGGAAGAGAATTTACTCCTGCAAAAGTTGTCCTCTGACCCCACGTGTGTGATGACAGACATGTACATGTATGCACACACACACACACACACACACATGAATAAATAAAGTAATAGATGTCAAGAGACTCTCAAAAACATATGTAGTCCGTTCCAAGACATTTAATTATAGTTTTGAATGTGGTTTATTATCTTTTCAGGCCATGGTTTTGGGATGAGTGTGGCTATTGATACTCTCTGCAACTGGGTGGTGCTATGGTTCCACTTTTAACAAGACCTGATGCCGAGACTTCCCAAGTGGTTTTTGGCTTGGTAATTTCTTCTTCCCTGTGTGCTCCTTTGGGCTACATTTGTAGGTATTTGCTAGTTTTGAATCAGAGTCTTGTGTAGCCCAGGCTGGCCTCCAACTCACTATGTACACATCACACATGTGTACACACACACACACACATACACACGAACAAATATTTTTTCCTTCCTTATCTGGGCTCCTTTGGGCTACACTTTATAGATATTTGCTAGTTTTGAATCAGAGTCTAGTGTAGCCCAAGCTAGCTTCCAGCTCACTATGTAGCTGAGGATGACCTTGAACTTCTGATCCTCCTCCCTCCACCTTCTGAGTGCTGGGGATTATAGGAAAATGCCACCGTGTCATATGCATTGCTAGGGATGGACCCAGGACCTTGGGCATGCTTGGCAATCTCTGTACGAGCTACATCCCTAACCCTTTTTGTTGTTTGTACATTTTGGACTAAAGAGATGGCTCAGCAGTTAAGAGCATATAATGCTCTTGTAGATGACCTGAGTTGTAGTCCCAGCATTTTTATGTATGGTGGCTCCTTGTAACTAGGGCCTCAGGGCATCCGACCCTCTGGTGTGTGAAGCACTTGCATTCATGTGCACCCCCACCCCGACACTTCATTAAAAGTTTTTTAAAATTCTGTTTTATGGGGCTGGAGAGATGGCTCAGATGTTAAGAGCACTGGCTGTTCTTCCAAAGGTCCTGAGTTCAATTCCCAGCTACCACATCATGGCTCACAACCATGAGATCTGGTGCCCTCTACTGGTATGTATGTGTATACGCAGGCAGAACACTATACATAATAATCTTAAAAAAAACAACAACTCTGTTTTATGTATGGTGTGTGTGAAAGAGAGAGAGAGAGAGACAGAGACACACATGTGGATTCTGCCATGTAGGTCATAGGGCTCCAACTCAGGTGATCAGGCTTGGCAGCAAGTACCTTTATTCTCTGAGCCACCTCACTGGCCTCACCTTTTTGGGACTGGGTCTCATGAAGCCCATGCCTCAACATCACTGTAGCTTGAACTTCTGATCCCCTGCTCCACCACCCAGTGCTGGAATTGCTGGTGCGCACCACAAGCACAGCTTGCTCATAGTTTTGGGACTGCAGACTGGGCCCTGGAGCCTTAAGCACGGGCTGGTGAGGGGGCTTGGCGATAAAGGTGTTCGCTGCCAAGCCTGACAACCTGAGTTTCATTCCTGGCACCCACATGGAAGGAGAGAACCATCCAGGAGTTGTCCTCTGACCTCCATATATGCTATAGCAGATGCATGCCCACCCACAAATAAGTAATGTGAACTAACAAATAACACTTGTGTTATATAAGAGGCACCATTGTGCTAATGAGTTTCCCACTCAGAAAGATGCCACAGTCAAATGTAACGTTTCCACTCGAGGCAACTTCCTTACTTACAATGATAATGTGTTTTGGGTTGGGCCTGGTGGAATACACCTTTCCTCCCAGCACCCAAGAAACAGGCAGATCACTGTGAATTCAGGGACAGCCTGATCCACATAGAGAATATGTAGGCCAGCCAAGGCAATGTAGTGAGACTTTTGTGTAAAACAAAAACAAAAACAAACAAAGCAAAAGTATTCCCTTGTGAAGCCAGGTGTGCTAAAATTATGTCTTCCAGCCAGGTGTGGGAGTGCACACCTGCAGTCTCACCATTGGTAAGGTTGAGGCCCAAGGGATCAGGATCCCAAAGCTGTTATTCTCCTGCCTCAGTCTTCTAGTGCTGGGACTGCAGGCATGCACCAACATGCCTAGTTTCTGTTCTTGATGAACAGCCTTTTCTGAAACAGTAAGTGTGATAGTTCCTGAAGCTTCTTGGTGGGGTGGCCAGGTTCCGTGGGAGTCCCTAGCTGTCTCTAGTGCTGACCCTGTAGTTGTGGACTCTAAGCTCTAGCGGTGGAGAGATAGACATCTAAGCTAAAGGTAACAGCATCACTGTGGCCTGAGACTTCCATCCAGCTCCCTTGTGGCCTCTGACTCACTAGTCTCTTGCTCAAGAGAGACATGGTTGGTGCCCTGTAAGCCACTGTCTGGACCTGGGACCTCTGAGCCAGGCCCCATAGGGAGAGGGGCTGACTTCCACTCGGACACCTGCAAGCTCTCCCATGGTTTACACACCCAGGTCCATCCTCCTGACAGGTCCCTGCCACTTATGTCCTGAGCAGTCCCTTCTGGAAGTGTCCCTTCTTCGGGAACGGAAGTTCTTTCCCTGGTTGATTTTATTTTATGTGTATGTGGGGTGCACCCATTGAAGCCAGAGTGCTGATCCACAGGTGCAGTCCTCCTTCTAAAAAGTTTTTTAAATTGCATTTTTAAAAATTTATTTAACGAGGATGGGAGTGTCACGGGACTCGTGTGGAAGTCCTGAGATTAAGGCCTGGGCATCTGATTTGGTGACAGACACCTTTAAACACTGAAGTGGCTTTCTGGCTCTACCTTAATTTTTGAGATTCTCTCATTATGTATAATTCAGTGGTTCAGCTGTGCTGGCCAGTGTGGGAACCCCAGGATCTGTCCATCTTTATTGATGAGATTGCAAGCACACACCACCAAGCCCAGAATTTTACGTGGGCTCTGGGAATGGAACTCATGTCCTCAGGTTCATGACACTCTACTGTCTGAGCCATCGCTCCAGCCCCAGAACGTTGGAGGACAGAAGCCATGCCCTTCTCCTGATGGTGTGCTCGTGAGGGTCTGCCAACCAGTTTTCCTGAGTCAGAGTATCTTGGCCGAGACAGGATATGCAGACTTTCGGTTGAAGCTGCATGAGGTCGGTATTAGTTACTTTCATGCCGTGACAGAATACCTGACAAAAACTTAAGAGAGCAAAGACTGATTTTTGGCTCGAAGTTTCAGAGGGTTTGGTCTACAGTCACTGGCCCTCTACTTCCTCTTTTTATTCTTTCCCAGCCCCAGCCCCAGCCCATGGAATGGTGCCACCACATTCAGGATAGATCGTTCCTCCTCAGTTCAATTCTCCCTAGAAGCATCCTCACATTTGCACTCACAGATGTGTCTCCCCAGTCCTGGGTAATCTTAAGTCCAGAGAAATGGATAGTGGATGTTAACTATTATAGAGCATAATTATGATTCATGAAGGGTTTAAGGTTTAAATATATATTAGGCCATAAAAAGAGGATCAATGAGATGATCTCTGGGACCCACATGGTAGAACAAGAGAATGGACTTTTGTAATACCCACACATGCACCATGGTATGGGTGCACATACATTTACAGTCTGTCTGTCTCTGTCTCTCTCTCTCTCTCTCTCTCTCTCTCTCTCTCTCACACACACACACACACACACACACACACGAAGCAGCCAGGCACAATAATTCATGCCTCTAATCCCCACACTGAGGAAGCTGAGTCAGGAGGATAGTGAGTTTGAGGCCAGACTGAGCTACGTGGTTCTCGACTACATAGACACAAGACTAAACTACAAGGATCTATCACTAAGCATTCACTAGGGTGGACATAATAATGATAAAGACAGATAATAACAAGTGTTGGCAATGTAAGGAGACTGGAAGCTTTGTACACCACTGAACAAATAGTAAAAGGGCCTGGGCATGGTGGCTTACAACTGTAATCCACTGGGAGAGACTGTGCCTGGAGGAGTTCTGCATTTTCAAGGAGTCTTGGCCACATAGTGAGTTCTAGGCAGGGCTCTCTACAGAGTGAGACCCTGACTCAGTACAACGGTAGAAAGCGCCTATAAGCAAACCCATAAGCTGAGTGCCAAAAGCAGGCAGGAGAGAGCCAGCCCCTACCAGTCGGCCTCTAATCACCATATGTGCATTGTGGCGCACTCGAACGCGCGCGCACACACACACACACACGTAAATTTTCAAAACAGACTGGAGAGATGGTACAGTGGTTAAGAGCATGTACTGATCTTGCAGAGGATCAGAATTAGGTTCCCAGAACCTGTGTAGGGCAGCTTACAAAACATTTCTCACTCTAGCTCCAGGTGACCTGTCACCCTCTTCTGGATTCCATGGGTACCTAAACTCATATGTGCACACGCACACCAAACCCAAAGCTGGGCAATAGTTTTACATACCCTCAATCCCAGCACTTAGGAGGCAGAGATCTTGGTGTACTTTTTACAATGTCTATATTTTTTATAACTCTTTCTCCCTACTAAACCCCAATCCTTTCCAACACCATATACCAGGTAGGAGAGAGAAAGGTTAGTGGGAGAGGGGCACAGTTCTCTTAGCTGCTTCCTGCTGTTAGGGTCGTCAGGTTCCTTGGAGCCAGTCCAGTCCTCATTTCAGGAGGTCTCCAACTTCTTGTTTCACTGCATCAACAGCCACCAGGAGCCACAGTGGGGAGCAGCAACACCTTGTTCTTTTTCGGAGCTCCCCAACACTCTCTGGGCTGTGGCATTTCTTCTCTTTCTAAAGTCCTTAGATTTAAACTAACTACAGCTGGTAGAGAGCTCCTCTCAGACCTGCATGAGGCAAATGGTCTGCTGCTGTGGACCATCTGAATCAGTCCCACATCCTACACCTGGGTTTAAAACAAAACTAGGCTTATATTTACAACAGAGGTATTGAGTTCTATTACAGCCGGGCTACACAGAGAAACCCTGCCTCAAAAAAAAAAAAAAAAAAAAACAAAAAACAAAAAACAAAAACACAATAAACCCCAACAAAACCAAATAACAACAAAACTAACCCAAACAAAACACAACTATAAGAACAGAATATAAAATGGTCTAGTAAAGATTGCAGTGGTGATTCCTCAGTGTTAAGGTACATACTCCAAGGAAATGAAAACACATCACACAAAAACTTGTACCATGTTCATAATAGCCCACAGTGGAAGCAGCACAGATGTCTTAATAAGCCAATGGATGAAACAGAATGCAGTACATCCACAAATTAGAACATTACTCAGCAAGGACAAGGTGTGCTGTGGCGCTGGAGAGAGGGGGTGGTGGTTAAGCACACCAGCTGCTCTCGTAGAGGGCCTAAGTTCAGTTCTCGGAACCCATGTCAAGTGGCTTAAAACTCCTGCAACTCCAGCTCCTGGGGATCCGGTGCCCTGTACTGGCCTCCATGGGCACCTGCAGCTACGTGCACAAACCCGAAAACCCACACATAATTAAAATAATAAAATTTTGGGGCTATAGAGATGACATAGTGGTTAAGAGCACTGGTTACTCTTCTAGAGCACTAGGGCTTGATTTCCAGCACCCAAACGGTTGCTCACGACTGTCTATAACTCCAGTTCCAGGGCCTCTGTTGCCCTCGTGTGGCCTCTGCAGGCCCTGCACAAATATGGTGCACAGACATACATGCAGGTGAGTTAAATACAAATCAGGTTTCCTTGTAGCACTCCTCTTTATCCTTTACTCAGAATTTTTCCTAATTTTCTTTTCTTTTCTGTGCTCTTTGACCTGGGTTTCTGAGTAACTGTTTCCAGGTGGAAGTGGCCATGCACTCTAACACGAGGCCAATGCTAAGCACACGGTGAACTTCCTTGGTCTTCACCTGCAGAATTGTTACCTGGACCTGCTGTCGAATTTGCACAAATCCTCATTCACTTCACCCGCCAACCTGTCTATGTCCTCAGAGGGGGCTATGAGTGCTTCTCTGGCCTGTACCACTTCTTCCGGACCCAGAAGATTATCTGGATGCCCCAGGTGAGGCAGGAGGATGAGTGCAGGCTACTAGGAAGTGAGGTTGGAGACTGACAGGTCGGTGGAGGTAGACAGAAGATGGGTTTGGGGGCGCGGGGGAAGTGGAGATGGAGAAATGAGCTGGAAATGCCTGGGGTGTTCAGTCTATAACGACAAATTCTGAGCTAACACATTATAGGAGGTCAAAAATGGGACTCTAGAGCAGGGGATGGTTTCTATGAGGGTAGGGGCAGTATGCAAGTCAGACGGTGTGCACTTCCACTCTGAGACACTCTCCCAGAGCTGTATCCTCTGAACACTGGTTCCCCAGCCAGAGCCCCACCTCAGGTGGCCGCAGAGCCTTTAGGAGGGGGGCTTGGCTGGTGAAAGCAGGTCCTAGGGGTGGGCCTGAAATGAAGCGTTAGACTCAGCCCTTTTCTGGGCTGCTAACTCTGCTTTCTGTTCTGTGCCATGAACCTTTCCTCACCACCATGAACAGGACCCCACCACTATGGCTTCCCCGCCATGGCAGGTTAATGGAGAGCCAATAAACCTTTTCTTTTCCAGTATTTTGTACCAAGAGCATTGCTAGATTCTTTTTTCTGATAACATTGATTTTTTTTTTTTGGTGTGGAGTATATATGTGCATGAGTGTGTGTGTGTGAGTGTGTGTGTGTGTGTGTGTGTGTGTGCACATATGTGTATGAGACGTGCCGTGATGCATGTATGGAAGCCAGATTTTCTTCTTCTAACGTGGGACCCAGGGATTCAAGTGCTTGAATTCAAGTGCTTGGCAGTAAAGACCAACTTCAACTGGACAAGTTTTGGGCCACAGATTGTCAAGCCTAACCTTTGTGTGTATGGCCAGGTACAGACAGGTGCCATGAGGGAAGGGGGCATCAGCATGGAGACCCGTCTCTGCAATGTAGTGCTGTGTACTACACTGTGTACTGCACTGTAGGGATGCCTGTGTACACCCAGGCATCTGACTTCTCAGGTGAGGTATTCATTGCCAATGTATTTGAAGCTCAGTCTCTCAGTCTCCATCTCTGTCTTGGGATGGCTCTTCCAAGCTTACCTCCAGAGCCACACCTCCAGAGACAGACCCCCACTTCTCAGTGAGCACATACTCACAACAGCCTTCCTTCTTCCCCATCCCAGGAACTGGATGCTTTCCAGCCATACCCTATTGAGATAGTTCCAGGCAAAATCTTCCTGGGCAAATTAAGTCAAGCTTGCAATGCTCAGATTCACAAGGATTTGAAAATTAAAGCTCATGTTAATGTTTCCATGGAGTCAACACCGTAGTAAGTAAAGGTGTTACTATTAGGGCGTGTATGTGTGTGTGTGCATGCCTGTGCCTTTCGAGGCCATATGTTGGTTTTGGTGTCTTCCTCTGTCACTATTTTTTAACACAGGGTCTCTCACTCAACTTGGTGCTCATGGACTGGATAATCTGGCTAGGCAGCAAGCTTGGGGGGAATCTGTCTCTGTGCCCCAGCCCTAGGTTTTCAGATGTGTGCCCCCATTAACCCAGCTTTTCATGCTGATGCTGGAGATTGTGACACAGGTCCTTATGCTTATGCAGCAGGCATATTGGTGACTGGGCCATTGCCGCTGCCCATGGTTTTTATTGTAGGTTAAGAGTCGCACAGTTACACATGCTTCCTACTGCCATAGCTTGTTGTGGCTGTTTTTTCCTCCTTCAGCACTAGGTCTGTCCCACACTGGCCAGGTTCTCTTCTGCTAAGCCAGGCCCCATTCCTCTGCTGGAGGATTCTAGCAGAGTGCTTCAACTACTGGGCCACACCTCCAGCCCCTCCCTGGCAAATTCCAGGACCCTGTAACTCCCTTCAGGACTCCCAGACAGCTCTTCAGGCTGCAAAGTCCCCTTTACCTGTAGTTGTTACTGCCTGTATAGCTTGGGAGAGGACCCTGTGAATATTGTAAATTTCAGGAAGTTGCTGGGGTTTGCAAGTTGCTTACTTCCTGAACATTGGAAGTTTTCTTTACTTCCTGAGTTTCAAGAAACCTTCCTTCTGGAAGGAAAGTGCCAATAATGAGGAAACAGATACTCAATACCATGCTGCCTTTTAAAGTTTTGTAGGTGATGAAAATAAACTCTTGCATATCAAGATTGAAGATTCTTCAGGTTCCAGCCTTTTCTCTTCTTTCCGCCACATATGTCACTTCATGGGTAAGGAGAATTTGCAGATCAGGGAATACCTTTCTTGTGCTCACCAGTCTCTGTCTGAGAACCTCGGGACTTGGGAAAGAATACAGAATCTAACACATGCAGCTGCTCAGAAGTCCTCAGCCATATTTATATATACATATATGACTAGCTTAGGAGGAGTGCCCTCCTGTGCCATGGGAACACCACACTGTATCTGAACCTTAGCTAGATGGCCATGCCTCCTGAGCCAGTCCTACAGTGAAGATAGCGGCCAAGCATGGGTGCATGATGTTTTGGGCGTCTGCACCTCTGTGGGGTCTGAGACCTCAAAAATGCTTTTCTTTTTGCTTTTGTACTCAGTGCTAGTCAGTAGAATGGGTAAGGCAAGAAAGGTTCCCCCAAACCCATCCAGATCTGATTCCTGTCATGCTTCATGTGTCCACTTGGCTCTGCTCTGACCTCCCACTTGCCACAGCTGCTCTGACCTCCCACTTGCCACAGCTCATCAGCTGCTTAGCACAATAAGTGCAGATCTTTTAGTCAGCCCCAGAGTTCACCAGGAAAAGCAAGATTCCTGGGCAAAGCTAGGCTGACTCAGGTCAGGAGTCTCTGCTACCAGCGAGGGACCAACATGGACCCCAGTCCGAGCTGCTGCTTAGATGGCTAAGAGTGGAATAGTAGCTTTCACCACCCCTCATTTGCCCACAACTCATCACTTTCACTTTTTATTTTATTTTTTTTCAACTTGAGGGATACAACCAGGGTGGAACACATATGTGGCTCTACCTCTAAGCCATGCCCCAGCCCCTCACTGGGTGTTTCTAGGCAGGTGCTCTACCACTGAGCCACACCCCAGCCCTTCACTGGGGGACTGTAGGACCTTCAGTCCTCTTTTTCTTTTTTCTTTTGACAGCATCTCCATAGGTTGCCTAGGCTAACCTTGAACTTTCAGTCTTTTTTTCTCTTAGCTCTTGAACATGTAGGATTCCAGACCTGTATTACTAGGCCTGGCAAGGTTGGTCTTCTGATGGCCACTGAGGTTCCCAGGATAGGGTGCCATGCACAGCCCCTCTTGCCCACTTCCTTTTGCAGAGCTTCACCTCCAGCTCCAATCTGTCATCCTGGTCTTTTCCACCCGGGGCATCAGCCGAAGCAGTGCTGCTGTTGTGGCCTTCCTCATGCATTATAATGAGGAGACCTTGAAGGTATGTGTTATGGGGTTGGGGCTGGGCTGGGGCTCCTCTGTTAGAATGTTCACCTGGCTTGCAAAAAGGTATGGATCTAAGCCAGGCATGGTGGCTTTGTTTATACATTTAATTTTAGCATTCAAGAGGCAGAGGCAGGTGGATTTCTGTGAATTTGAGACCAGTCTGGTCTAGAAAGTGAGTTCCAGGACAGCCAGGGCTATGCATTGAGATCCTGTCTCAAACAGACAAACAAACAAACAAACAAAGACTCTGGGTTCAGTTCCCATAAACACATGAATCAGGTATGTTGGGACATGTAATTTTAGGACTGGAACTGGAGAGGGAGGCAGGAGAATCAGGAGTTTAAGGTCATCCTCAACTACAGAGCAAGTCTAAGGCTTCCTGAAGGTAGCCTTTCCCCCTACTTCTGGTGTGTGTGTGTGTGTGTGTGTGTGTGTGTGTGTGTGTGTGTGTCTATGTCTATCTAGATCTCCTGGAGTTATAGGCACTGAGGAACTCAACTCCAGCCTGCTGCAAGAGCGGCATAGGCTGCTCTTAGCTGCTGAGCAATTTCTCCAGCTCCTAGCTTCTTTTTCTGTTGTTGTGATAACATACTCCACAATAGCAACTAAAGAGAGAAAGGGCTTGTTCTACCCACAGTTCAGGTGGGTATGGTCAAGGCAGCGGGCGCTTGAAACATTGAGTCCTGATGAGGAAGCCCAGAGCGATGGGTGCACACTGCGGCTGTGCCCATGGTGGGTACACACTGGGGCTGCGCTCTCTTTCTCCATGGCTATGCTGTAGAGTCCCAGCCAGGGAATGGTCTTGCCCGCCTTAAAGATGGGTCTCCCTGTATATCAGTTGACACAGTCAAGGCAGTCTCCCACAGACAGACCCACAGGCCAACCTGTTCTAGACAGTCGCTCATCCAGACCCCCTTCCCTTCTGGGTAATTCCAAAGCCTGCTGAGCTCAGAACTGAAGTTAACTACCACAGTGCACAAGTTAGTTTGGGTCTGTCCCAAGGAGAATTTCACGGAGGCACAAGCATGTGGCCTCAGCCAGTCAATTTTCCTTTACCTTGAAAGCAGAGGGATAAAAAAGCAGGAGCTTGCATAGCAGCACCAGGGCCTCATGACTAATGGCAGGCTGGAGCCTGCCCTAGAGTCTTCCATGCTAAACTTGGCTAGTCACAGCCTGCTTGCAGCCTCAGAGGGCATGGACAGAATGACTCTAAAGAGCCTCCAGATTCAACCTGGGGTGTGGTTTGATGGTAGAGCACTTGCCTAGAAACTCCCAGTGCAGGCTGTGGTTCAGTGGAAGAGTGCTTCAGAGTCCCCGGGTGAGGGCCTGCAGTAGTGGCAGGGGTGTGGTTGTGCTTGCCTTGAATCCACAAGGCTCTGGGTTTGATCCCTACCTAGCACTGAGAAAACAAAACAAAATCCCAACAGCTTTTGAGCCATCCAACGTGACAGTGTTAGTCCTTTCTGGCCACATCGCGGTAGTTCACAGGCTTCTAGCCAGGGTGGGTGGGGAGGAGGGTAAAGTGAGCCCTCTTCTGGTTTGGCTCCTAGCTAAGCTAGAGCCTAAAGGGTGTGCACAGCCCTTACTGCTTGCTTTGTTAGTCCCCGGCAGTGGTTGATGCCGGACCCGCTCAGGTCCAGGTGAGTCTGGACTCTGGAGGAACCCTAGCACTTATTTCTGGAGTAGCCATCTTTGTCCTCTGTAGGAAGTCTCAACACTGAGCATTCTTCCCAGAGATTCCTCCTAGGTAACTCTTGGCCAAAAAGAGCTGTTCAGCTCACTCGGCTGTGGCTAGGAGTGCTGATTCTCAGCTGCCATGGTAGGAGGCTCACTAGCATAACCTGGCCTGGGCTTGACCCCAGGAGCTGACATGGAGCTGATGTGCTGGGGCGGGCTCTCTGTCCCTATGCAGTGGGCACACTGAACCCTCTGTATCTGTCCATTAAAGGTGTGTAGAAAAGCAGCTGGCAAGGTGAGCACGCATGGAAACCCTTGCCTGCAAGCCTGGTGCCTGAGTTTAACTCCGGGAACCTAAAGCTGGAAGGAGACATGACTCCACACTAGCTCCACAAGTGTGCAGTGGCGTGTGTACGCCGCCATCTCCATAGCATGCACACATGATAATAACATGTAAATTTATTTATTTTAAGATTTGCATTTCTTTGTTGATTTAGTTTTGGGTTTTTGTTGTTTTTTTTTTTTTGTTGTTGTTTTGTTTTGTTTTTTTTCAAGACAGGGCTTTTCTATGTAGCTTTGGCTCCTCTGGAACTCATTTTGCAAACCAGGCTGGCCTTGAACATAAAGATTCACCTGCTTCTGCCTCCTGAGTGCTAGAATTAAAGGCATGTGCCAGCACCATCTGACTGCTTAATTTTATTTCATGTGTACTGCTATTTCTCTACCTGTGTGTTTGTACACAACATACGTGCAGTGTCCTCAGAGGCCAGGAGATGGAGTTAGATGCTCTGGAACTGGAGTTACAGACAGTTGTGAAGCATCTTATAGGTGCTAGGACTTGAACCCGTGTCCTTTGGAAGAGCAGCAAGTGCTTTTAGCCTCAGAGCTTTTAATCTCTCCATCTTCTATTTGCTGCATTAATTAATGTATTTATTTATTGATTTTTGGTTTTTTGAGACAGGGTTTCTCTGTGTAGCCCTAGCTATCCTGGATTTGCTTTGTAGACCAGGCTGGCCTCAAACTCTCAGGGATCCACCTGCCTCTGCCTCCTGGAGTGCTGAGATTACAGACATGTGCCACCGTGCCCAACTTTTTTTTAAAGATAGGGTCACTTTGTTGCATAGATTTTGCTATGTAGTTCTTGGTGGCCTGGAACTCACTCTATAACCAAGCCCATCCTCCATTGGCTATATAACTCAGGCTGTCAGGGAATCATGCTGCAACTCCAGGCTGGAGCTCACAAGCCTTCTTCCTGCCTCCTGAGTGCTGGGCTTATAACGGTGTCCCACTGTCTCTGGCTCTTTTAGTTTATTGTTGCTGTTGTTTTGTTTGTTTATGTAATGACATGTTCACAACAACCCTGCAGTTCAGATTTTTTCCCCCAGGTTTTTTCCAGGTGTGAGAAGTCTGGGTGCTTTCCCTGAGGCTGCAAGCTGCAGAGAGTACAGCTGGGATCCCAAACCATGGGCCCAGGTGCAGCACCCACACTTCCCACAGGGCCCCAATGGAACAGGAAGAACATGGCCTTGGGCTTGCTGACTCTCACCAAGTGTGCCCTGGCAGGTGCTTCACATTTCTATCCCAGGGTAGACAGGATGAGACCTTTCTGCCTGTGAGAGGCCCAGCAGCTATGTCAGCAGCTGAGGTGGGCAGTGGGTTCCTGGCTATTCCTTCTCTACCATCTCAGTGTCTTTTCATTCATATGGGATCCATGTAGCCAAGGCCTCAAACTTAGTAAATAGCCAAGGAAGACCTTGGACTCCTGATCTACCTCCACCCCCAGGAGGAATTGCAGGCTTGTGCCACTATGTCCAGTTTTACTATTTGTGTGTGTGTGTGTGTGTGTGTGTGTGTGTGTGTGTGTGTGTGTGTTTGTGTTTGTGTGCAGGTGCCTGCTGGTAGGGAATGTTGGATCCTCTAGAGTTGGAGTTACAAGTGGTTGTGAGCCACCCAGTGTGGGTTCTGTGAACAGAACTCTGGTCCTCTGCAAAAGCTCCTGAGTCACCTCTCCAGTTCCCATGCCCAGTGTTATATGGTGCTGGTGGCCAAACTCAGGGCCCAGTGTGAGTAGACAAGCACCCTGCCAATTAAGCCACATCCCATCCCTCTTTATGATTTCTAGACGTGTACTTTAGGGGTTAGTGCACTCAGGTTGAGAAACCCAGCTCGTAAATTTTCACATCTTGCAAAACTGAAATTGTGTGCTTAGTGAATGATAGCCCCTCCTGTTCTCTCCTAATCCGAGCCTCTGGCAGCCACCCCTGGGCCGCAGTTTGTCTACACCCAATACCTTACATAATTTATAATCCCTTCTGTGTGTGTTTGTGTGCATGTCGCATGTTGTAGGTGCATATGAGGGTGTGATATGTAGGTCAGAAGGCAGCTTCAGATAGCCATCTTCAGGCATTATCCACCTTGAATTTTTTTTTTAAGACAAATTCTTTCATTGGCTTGGAGCTTGCCAAGTAGAGTAGGCTGACTGGCCAGCAAGCTGCAAGGATCTCCCTGTCTCCAGGTTCCCAGTGCTGGGAATAAACATGGCTTCTGGGGATCAAACTTAGGTCCTTGTGCTTATAGGGCAATGGCTTTACTGACCCAGTGCTGGAACTGACCTCCTTCCTTCTTTCTCCCCTTCCTTCCTTCCTTGCTTTGTTTTCGAGACAGGGTTTCTCTGTGTAGCCCTGGCTGTCCTGGAACTTGCCCTGTAGACCAGCTGGCCCTGAACTCACAGAGATCCACCTGCCTCTGGCGTCTTGAATGCTGGAATTAAAAGTGTGTGCCACCACCACCCAGCTTCTTCTTGCTTTCTTAATATCTGAATGTATATATGTGTGTGTGCACACGCGCGCGTGCGTGCGTGCGTGTATCGTATGTGTGTGTGTGCACATGCATGCGTGTGCTTGTGTGCGTGCGCTTGTGGAGGCCAAAATCGTCTGCTCTGAAGGAACTGTCCTTACGAGTGGTTGGAATCTGCTACGTGCAAATTGGGGAGTGATCCTGGGTCTTCTGGAAGAGCAGCAAGTGCATCCCCGACCTAACTTTCCAGGCCCTTGATTTCTGAATTATTTCTCCTCTTCCTCCTCCTCCTTTTTGGCTATTTATCATTAGCATATAGAAATACACCTGGGAGTTATGTGTTGAATTTGTTATTCTGCCATTTTGCTGTGTTTATTAGCACGGGTGAGCCATCATTCCAGCCCCTAAGGTGTCATTTTGCTTTTACACTTCCTCCGTCTTTAACCCAGACAAAGGCCAGCCGCGTTCTGTCTGCACTTTATTGCGGATGCAGCACCTGGAGGAAGGCAGCTTTGCCTTTCCTCTTCAGAGAACCGGCTCATGGTTCTTGTCATCTCTCCAGTGATTCAGTCAGTCTCAATGCAAACCTCTATTGAGGCTGCTATGTGTCCCAGGCTCAGCCTGGCATTTTCATGCCCACAGGAGGTTGCATGCATTGTCTCACAGGAGCCATTTGAAACAGAACTGACTTCTGTGCCCTAAGTCAGAATCAGAGGAGCTTGTCCACAGCCTAGCCTGTGCACAGGGCTCCTTGCCCTGATGACCTCACCCGGGCTACTGTTCTGTCTGTGCTTAAACTCTTTTTTCCTTCTGTTCCTTTGAGTGTGTTTGTGTGTGTGCACATGTGTGTCTGTGTGTTTGTGCACATGTGTGTGCATATGCACTGTATGAGTCACTAGGATTAAACTCAGATCATCATCTTGGAGGGCCTCACCTTCTCTCTTTGTTCTCTTTCTTCTCTCCTCCCCTCCCCTCCCTTCCCCTCTTCCTCTTCCCTCCCTTCTTCTCTCCTCTCCTCTGCTTTCCTCCCTCTCTTCCTCCCTTCCTCCCCCTTCGATTTGGCCTGGAACTACACAATTAAGTTATGCAAGCTGGCCAGTGAGCCTCAGGAATCCCCCTGCCTCCACTTCCCCAGCATTAGGCACAAGTGTGCCACCACGAACAGTGTTTGTGCCTGGGTCCTGTGGACTGGCCTCATGCCTCGCCTCATGCTCTGAAAGCACACGGCCTACCAAGTGAACTGCCACCCCGGGCCCTGTCTCTGCATCCGATCCTAAGCCATCAGGTGGGCTTCTGGGAAGGGACCTCCTGCCCTCCCTGAACTGGCTGTGATCTGCTCTGGAAGGAGCCTACAGATGGCACCTGTCCTGAAGCCTTTTTTTTTATCTCTGCTTTCACAGAGGTCTTGGGCCCATGTGAAGAAGTGCAAAAACAACATGCGTCCGAATCGAGGCTTGGTGGCTCAGCTGTTGGAGTGGGAGAAAGTTATCCACGGGGAATATATCACTGACATCTCCAACCCTATCTACTGACCTTCACTTGTGGCCCAACCATGGTCACCACGCCATGTTTGGGGCACTCGGGGGTGGGGGGCTAGGGTAAATGGAATGGTCTAGAAAAAGAGCATTGTTGCTTGGAATTTGATGTGGTTCTTTTTGTGTTTTCCCTTCTATACTGGGGATTGAACCTGTAACAGTGGTTCTCAGCCTTCCTAATGCTCTGCCCTTTAATACAGTTCTTCATGTTGTGGTGACCCCAACCGCAAAATTGCTCCGTTGTTACTTCATAACTGTAATTTTGCTGCTGCTATGAGTTGTAATGCAAACATCTGTGTTTTCTGATGATCTCAGGTAACCCCTATGAAAGGATCATTGGATCCCTAAAAGGGTCTTGAGCCATAGGTTGAGAACCACTGACCTAGAGCCTCTCACGTGTCAGGCAAGTTCTCTGTCATTGAGCTATACCCTTGGCCTCTTTCTCTCTCTCTTTTAAGACAAAGTCTCATGTAGCCTGGGATAGCCTCAAACTCTGTGTATTGGAAGAGGACCTTGAACTCATGCTCTTCCTGTCTCCATCTCTCCAGTGCTGAGATTACAGATGTACCACTACTTCAGTTTATGTGGCACTGAGGATGGGCTCATCTTCCTGCATGTTAGTCAGACACTACCCATTAAGCAACACTCCCAACCCTGCACTTTTTTTTTTCCTAATCCATTCCACATACCCCTTTAAAATTTATTTTAGAGTTATTGGTTTTATCTTATGTATATAGATGTTTTGCTCACATGTATGTCTATGTACCATGTATATGCCTGGTGCCTACAGATGGCAGTAAAGGGCATTGCATCCCTTGGAATTGAAATTACAGATGGTTGTGAGCCACCATGTAGGTGCTGGGAACCAAACCTGGGTCCTCTGGAAAAGCAGCCGGTGCTCTTAACCATGGAACCATCTCTCCACCTTAAAAGCTGAGGCCTCTTTACATACCCTTCGCTGTCCTTAGCCATGCCATTTTCATGCCTACATCTTCTGAGTGCTGGGATTACAAGTGTGTTCCATCATGACTGGCCTTAGGCCCTGGTCCGGTCCATCCAACAGAGCAGAATCATGTTTCCTTCTTGCTGCTGGAGCAGCTGTTGAACACAGATGATTTGGACTCTTGGGAGGTTACCTGGGCTGGAGCGCTTAGCAGATTGCTGTGTCAGCCCATCCAGAGAGTATCACAGTGTTCAGGTTGGAGATCCTCCAGCCCAGCCTTAGGGATGCGCCTCCCAAATGCTGAGATGATAGACATGCGCCTCCGCATCAGGTTTACTATGCGGTGCTGGCTTGGGATTGAACTCCGTGCCTACATGCTAGGCAAGCACTCCACAGACTCAGCCGCATCTGGAGTCGCAGTGGTGAGGCTTCAGTAGGGACACGCTGGGGAGTTCAGTGTTCTACTTTAGGAGAGCCAGCCTTCAAGCTTAGGACAGGGGAGGTGAGTGCGGAGGGCTCTGGGACAGGAAAGGGTATCTGTAACAGCTGTGAGGCAAGGAATGTCCCTAGAGAGGCGCAGCTTCTCAAGGACAAAAGTGTAGGAAGCGCAGGGCGTGGTGGCGCACGCTTCTCATCTCGGCACGCGGGGAGGCAGAGGCAGCGCTACTTCTCGGTTCCAGACCAGCCAGGGCTACATAATGAGGCGCTCTCTTAAAAAACTAAAGTGGTGGCAGCACGTGCCTCCTTGCTCTGTGAGTAGTCGGAGGAAGTGGACCGTGCCGGGCGCCCAGGTTCGGTTACTGAGCTAGGAGACGCCCTGCCGGCGCGTGGCCCCGCCCAGTTCCCGTCTCCGGCCCTGATTGGTTGCTCCTAGGGGCGGGGCTCGCGCTCGGATTACGCCGGGCCTTTTCCCGTTGGCAGCCTCGGCAGCGCGAGCCCGGAAGCGGACGGGGGCGGTGGCGGAGGCGCCTCCGGCCCGCCGGGGTTGCAGCTCCGTCCTCCCCACTCGCGGCGTCCCGTGGCGTGGACAAAGACATGCAGTCCCCGCCCCCGGACCCGCTGGGCGACTGCCTGCGCAACTGGGAGGATCTGCAACAGGACTTCCAAGGTATCCAGGTGAGCGTCCCTGCGGCCATCCGTGCCCCGAGCCACGTCTCTGTCTCGGGGACAAGAGTCGGACAGTCCTAGGTTACACATAGGGTAGCTCGGAGGGGTCAGGGGTCGAAGCTGTCCCCCTCTTTTCCTCTTATCTGTCCGATGGCAGCCCCGATTCGGGTCCCCGGCGTGCCTGGGTGGGCCTTGTACTGGGCCATCTCGACTTTGTGCAAAGGCCTTGAAAACAGGTCAGGACTCCTCTTTTGCCCTCCCTCTGCACCGCTACTCGATCTGGGACCCGGCTCCCTTCATAGAGAGCAGTCGCCGAGGCAAAGCCCAGAAGGGCCCAGCCCTTTGGGTCAGTCACCCTGCAAACGTGCAGCTGGAAAGTGCCTTCCCCGCCCCTGGCTAACTCCTTGCCGAGCGCTGCAGGAAAGCAAGTTTAGGTAAAATTCAGGCCTGGATGGGGGTCTCAGCCACCTGAGACCAAGGAACAGCGCCCACCTAGGGACAAGGGGAGGCTTGACCCAGAGCATGTGGCTTTCTTGTAGGGTAGAGGTGGGCGGGGCAGACTGTAACGGGACCTCCCGGCTTGGTAGAGAGGCCACCAGAAAACCTCCTAGTCGCAGGATGAGGTTGTTTGTGGCCGCGCTGTTCCCATACCGGAGAGAAGGAAGCCGCCGCTTCCAGGAAGGCTGCCACTGGGCAGACATGGCAGTGCTAGAGCCCGAGGAGGACATGGCAGACCCAAACAGTGGAGCCTGGCCAACTGGAGACTAGGTTAGACCTTTCCCTCTCCTGGACTGCGTCCAGCCTCGTGTGGCCGCTGCAGGCCAGCTCTTCCCAGCCTGCTGGCACTAGGACTCTCTAGAGGCCTAGGCAGCCCCAAGTCTCCCAGTTTCGCCATCACTGTGATGGCCTCAGCCTCTGCCTTGATTTCCCCACATTGCCCCTTGTCCTGTCTTTCCGTTGCAACTTACAAGGTTCACCCACCAGGGCAAAGTGCTTGGGGAAGCTTTGGACCAAAGGTGGTTGCAGGCGGGGAGTGGATGGGAGGGACTGGCCTTGGGGCTGGAAGTCCGGTGACCTTTGACCTGAGAGGAAGCATCAGCAATGCATGGGTGGAAGGCATCTTGGATGTTGCTGTTTTCCATTCCTTCCGGGTGGGTAGGTCGGAGAACCGAGAAGGTAAGGGGTGGGTTCAGGCAGCCTCTTTGGTCTGGAGCAGCAGTTCTCAAGCTGTGGGGTTGTGACCCCTTTGGGGGTGGGTTGAACGACCCATTCACAGGATTCACCTAAGACCATTGGAAAACATAGTTATTTACAATACAATCATAACAGCAGCAATGAAAGTATCAATGAAAACAATTTTGTGGTTGAGGTCACCACACCATGAGGAACTAACTGTATTCAAGGATCGAAGCATTAGGAAGTTTGAGAGCCACGTAGAGTCCAGATGCCAGACTCAGGTAGCACAAAGAACCCATGCAGAGCTAGGGACAACTGACTGTTGTTGAGGACATGCATCAAGACACCTAGCTCCTGACTTGCCTCAGGGGAAGAGTAATCTCTAGGAGGTCCCTGGGCAAGCACAGAAAGTTCTGCCTCCAAGAGGGCTGGTTGCCTGCCCAGGCTAATGCCTTCTCCTCACGCTAGGAAACACACCGCCTGTACCGCCTGAAGCTAGAGGAACTGACCAAACTCCAGGACAACTGTACAAACTCCATCGCCCGGCAGAAGAAGCGGCTCCAGGAGCTGGCCTTGGTGCTGAAGAAGTGAGTGTGGGGTGATGCACCACGGGGGTGGGTACCATTGACTTGGGGTGCCACGGGGCTAACCCTGGCACGGCTCTTCTCCGCTTCCACTCCCTGGGCTCTGTTCCTTTTCTCTGTCCCGAAGGGTTCCCACAGGGGCTCCTGCAGGACTTGGGCTCCCCCACCTGCTCTGACTGACTCCTGCCGTACTCCCAGATGCAGACCCTCTCTCCCATCCGAGTCCATGGAGGCTGCGCAGGAGCTGGAGAACCAGATGAAGGACCGCCAAGGCCTCTTCTTCGACATGGAAGCCTATTTGCCTAAGAAGAATGGGTGAGCCCTCTCTCTTCCCGGCTCCAGGGCCATGGCGCCCTAGCTCGGCTTTTGGTCAGTCAGTGAAGGAGGCCGTATTGTCGGCCTGCTTGTCTGACAGCTTCTTGTACTGGGAGCTTCAAGGGGAATGTTCAGGGAACTGGGCCTCAGGAATGGACACCCAACCCCACAAGGCTAGGCACAGCCTCCTATATAGGGATACCTGAGTCATCTTCAGAGGTAAAGAAGGAGCTAGTACATGCCTGTGGTGCTAACACTCTGGAAGCTTTGGGAGGACAGAGAGTCCTCTTCGACTACATAGTGAGCTCAAAGTTAGCCTGGTCAACACAGTGTCTTTCAGGCTAGCTAGAACTACACAGTGAGACCCTCCCTCAAAAAGGGAAGAGGGGGGGGGAGATGGCTTAATGGTTAAGAGCACTGGCTCCTCTTCCAGGGACCAGGGTTCAATTCCCAGCACTGACATGGTAGTTTACAACTGTCTGTAACTTCAGTTCCAGGGGATCCAACACCACCTTCTGGCCTCCAAGGGCACCAGGCACACACATGGTACACATACATTACTGCAGGAAAAACACCCATACATATAAAAATAAAATATAAGCCAAAACCAAACCAAGGGCGGGGATGTAGCTGGCTTGGTAAAATGCTTGGGAAATATGATTGGTAACCCTGGCAGTGAGGCTGGGTCTGTATGGGGCAGCGAGTTTGTGTCCTGGATAGTTTTTATGTCAACTTGAAACAAGCTAGAGTCATCAGAGAGGAGGGAACCTCAACTAAGAAAATGCCTTTGTCCCGTTTGTCTGTAGGCAAGTCTGTGAAGCATTTTTTGACAGGGGAGGGCCCAGCCCATTGTGGGTGGTGCCATCCCTGGTCTGTGGTCCTGGGTTCTATGGAAAAAAAAAAAAAAAAAAAAAAAAGCAGGCTGAGCAAGCCATGAGGAGCAAGCCAGTAAGCAGCACCTCTCCATGGCCTCTGCATCAGCTCCTGCCTCCATATTTCCATAATATTTCCATATGGCTTGAGTTCCTTCCTTGGCTTCCCTCAGTGGACTATGATTCAGGACACGTAAGCTAAATAAATCCTGTTCTCCTCAAGTCGTATTTGGTCATTCTGTTTCATAAGAGTAATAGTAACAGTAATAGGACAGAAATTGGTACCAGGAGAGTAGGGTATTGCTGTGGCAAACTTGAGCA